TAAAAAATATAAAAAAAATATAAAAAATCCCTTTTTAAGCTGAAACTTGCGGCTCAGCGTGTAGTAGGGATATGGCAATGATTACAGAAATAATTTGCTGAAAAGCAAGGGATAGGACTCTTCTCTACTTTGAAGCAGTAATACTTCTGCCAAAAGACTGGATGTCTCTTAACTGAGTTCTTATGTAAGGGAAAAGAAAATGTGAATGACAGTTGGAATTTAAAATGGTATATTAGCAATGTATTACCAGTGTAACTATCTCATGCAAAAATTAGGCAAAAAGGATTTTTGTTGTAATCACTTACTGTGTGAATTGTAATAATGCCCAGCATCTTCAAAGAGGGCTGTGACCCACTCTGACAGATGTTGGATAAACTGAAGTTGGGACCATTGCATATAACTTTTATCCATCAACAAGGACAGCGCATGTGTGGCATGAATAGAGTCACCTGTTTGGTGTATTTAAAGTGGGAGGTCTTAAAGTTAATTAAACTACAATTTTGACATGGATTTATGCTAGTTACTCCCTCTGTTTTGGATTTTGGTACTGTTCCAAAACATTTTTGCTCTACAGCGTTTCATGTATGTCTTTTATATATTTGTCGGCTGTAATAAAATACTTTGCAACAAAATTTATTTGAAATTTCATCTTCTTTACAGCTATATTTATTCAGCAGTGCCACTTTCTGAGACAGGCTGGCCATTCTGAGAAAGCAGTGTCTTTGTTTCAGGCTCTGATTGACTTCACCTTCTTTAAACCTGACAGTGTAAAAGATCTGCCAACAAGAGGACAGGTAGCAATTTCCATTTAAATGTATTTATGTCCTTGTGCTTTTCAGAGAATGCTGTAACATTAAAATGTTGATGAATTTTTAAGGACATAGGGAAATATTTTGAATCACAACTTATTTGCGGTTCTTCAAGGTGATGCTTGCATTGGAAAAATGCTTGTGGATCCTCTGGAACTACATGCCAAATGACTCTCTCTACTGTATATAATAGAAATGTGATAACCAGTCATTTCATGTCCTCTTTTTTACTAATTAAAGATGGAAAAAAAATCAGCTGGCTGACCAAAGTCTGTGTCTGGTTAGCATTTCCCCTGCTGCTTTTTTCCAAAACTGCTGTTGTTTTGTTATTGTTGATAGAGAAAGCTGGTAGGACTTATAATATCCTTCTGTTCTTGCAAACATTTCTTAGGTTCTCCATTATGTATTGTTTTCAGTAATTCTTTGATGGCTACATTAGAAACACCTTCATGCTTTAAAGTATCTTTTATTTGACCCATGAGATTCCATTCAGCTTATTCTGTTAAAGTACTAAATCACTTTTTCTCCTGATTTGCTCAGGAGAATGTTGGGCATGCACCTCAATAATAATCAGTAAGTTAATATTCAGAGGGGGCTGTTGCCAGTGTAGCGTCATCCCACTGAATTGTCGGGAGCTGCTTCCTTTTTAACGAGTGGTAGGGAGGGCCACCAGTTAGGCAGCTGAGCTACTGTACAGGACAGAGATTGAATTTCCTTTTATTACCTCACGTTCTTCCCCAGCAACCACTACTGAGACTCCATATTTTGCTCTCTAGATTAATGCTGTTCCCAACCAATGGAGCAATTTTGTAGTTTAAATAATAGTGGTATTCTCTTAAAGAGCCAAAAGTTGAGTCCTAATTATCCTGCAGGATGGGAGATTTGGTATAATTACAGAGATAAAGCTGAAGTTACGCTACCAATCATTTGAAAAACTGCAAGATTATCTGTAGCTTTTAAAAAAACTCTTAAGAAAGCAGGATGGAAAGGAACCTCGGTTTAAAAGGTTAGTGTTTAGGTTGGAAAGTGCAGTTCTTGAAAATGGGAAAATGTCAGATTTACAGCTGATCGCACATTCTGCCCTCTTACAGAGAGTTATGACTCAATCTTGAATTACTTTTTTCCCATACTGTTTTCACAGTTCGCTTTCTCACTTGGGGCAAAGAATAAATCCATGAGGAGCAGAATTAGGTTTTGCAGTTGCTGTAATGCTGTTGATGCTTGACTTTTCTTAGAGTAAATTTTATTGGTAATATTTGTGTTAACAGTCACATCTCAGTGTGCAAGCCAAGGTTTGGTACACAGCAGAAACATACACTAGGAGAGAGACAGTCATTAGAGCTAAGTATACACAAAGCAGGGGAGGAATTGATGAATCTAAAGATGACAGATTGCATACAGGCAGTGACAAAGTCAGAACTAGAACCCTGGACTTGTGATTCACTGGAAGGTACCCTGAAGCTGTTGACCACCCTGAAACCTGAGAGGTGAAAGGCCTTACTGGTCTTTTCGTCTTGTCCTCAGTCCAGTCATATTTCTGTCCAACTGCAACATTTTGTTTTTACCATAGATGTATGATTGTCTGAATTACCGTTCCATTAGCCAAATTCTTCATGGTCCCATGGAAGATGAGGAGGAGGAGGAGGGAAGATTTGGTTTCTGAAAGCCACATCTTGGGGACTTTGGATCCTTATCCTTGAAGGATCTGTATAGGACATTTGGCACAGAAGTATTTTGCTTTCTTTAAAGTCTAATACCTTTTAAAAACAATCTTCATGTTCATGAGAAGAGCTGATGAGAGTCCTGCTGTGCCACAGGCATAATTGAAGTAC